CTAAGTGATTTTTCTTTGCAGAGGGAATCTCATCACTGTAATGTGAATGCTGTTAGCCTTTTCTAGGCGCTCAAAGTATTTGCGATGTCTCTGGTTTGGGAAGGTAAGTAGTTTTGCTCCAAAGATTCTCCTTGGGAACAGCTAGCGCTCCCACTGTATTCTGTGCTCCCATATATAATACTCTGACTCGGAACAGCATAAATTCTCAAAAACTTGGAACCTGGTTACTCAAGTGATGGCGTGTTCCACTCTAAGAGACACAAAAGGTTTGCAGGCTCTGGCTCACAAGGTACTTCACAGGTGTGTAGTGTGGAGCTGCTACTGGTTGCAAGCAGTGGGGACTGTTGGGGGGCCTGGAAGAGTGCTGTATGAAGGGCTGCTGTGGTATGCAGTCTATGCTTGACCCCATTTGCAGTCAGCTCCATCCCTTTTCCCCCACTACGTTTGCCCTCAGGGAATGAGAATACAGCCTGCTGCTTTTAAAGTAGTAAAGGAGGGGCCTTGGTTGTGCTGAGGAAGTAACAAGGACAGAATCCATTTCAAAGAAATGATGATGATGGCTTCTGTGGTTGTTCGTTAAGTTTATGTATGTATTTTTCCACCTTTAGCTAAATCATCTCAAAATTTCAGCTGCTTCTCCACTGGAATCCCTTTTTAAAATGTTGTGAATTAGCCTGACTTCTGAATTATAGCGTATTTATTCCCGATGATTTTGAAATATCAAAGCATCTGCTATTTATTGTCCATGGCATATAGTACCAGCCCAGAATCTTGCTTTTCAGACTTTGGGCAGTCCTCAGGCTGAATAACAGTGCCATGTAACCCTAGAAAGCCAATCTTATTTCATTAATATCACAATAGGTTATCAAGAATATTCACAATTTTATAAATTGCCGACCAGAATAATTCTCAAGTTCATTTAAAGCAAATCTATTCATATTTTTACACAGTTCATAGAGTAAATTGTGGTGGTAATTTAGCATTTCTTCATGGAAGACTTCCCTGTTTTTGCAGCAGTTTTTTACTGACAGCTCCTTATGTTCATTATGTTCATGTGCTATTCCATCTCAAAGATGACTCAAAATCACTGGATTGGAAATGAAAACACAGAAACAAGGCATGGATTTTAATGATGGGAGTTCCTCTGAAATGCAGCGTACCCTCTTTGAAGAGACACTCCAGATGCCTGCCAGAGCACTGCTGAGGGGTGGCTGCAATCGAGGCGCTGACAAAAACGCTTTCCATCAGTGGTATAGGCGGGAGGGAGAGGAGGGTGGCTGGAGCTGCTGGCCCTTCTAGGGCTCCCTCCGGCACCTTTGCCAAATCCTCCTCGGTCGGGAATGAGGCCATCTCGTGGCCGAATTTTGTATCGGGCAACTGCTCCTCTGCCTTGGTCGGTGCTCCTTCCCTGTCCCCTTCTTGGGGGTATTGAGGAGGAAGGTCATAACGTTGCCTCTCTGCAGAAAAGCTAGGTGAGAGGTAGCGGGAAGGTCCGCTAATACAGGTTGAGCCTAGGAAAGTCACAAATACCCCATTTGACCTCTCTGTCAGAAGTATGCTCTGACCTAAAAGAATTAGGGAGCTGCTCTGGGGCCAGCAGGGCTTAGATACAGATGAATAGGTGCATAATTGCCACATTTCTATGTTACTCTGTGCAAGTCCAGCACCCTACTGCTAAACGTACACTTGGAGCCGGTAACTTTGCCATGGTAGCATCTTCCTCGGTGTTTATTGCAGCCATAACAACTACAGGGATCCGAGTTTGACTCGTTCTGTGCAGTTGAAATTATTTCAATGGATACTAGGGCAAAAAGGGAACAAAACCCAGTATGTTTGAAGTATCTGAAGGTGCACTGAGGATGAGGTTAGAAAGGTGCTGCAGGTACCTTTACGATAGGTTTGTTTCTGTATTTCACCAATTTTGTTTTCTATCTTTATTCTTCTATACTTCATATATAGTCTTCTACATCTTGAATTCTTGTAGTATACAAGGGGGAAGAATATAAGTGATGCTGGAAAACCAGAAGCTGATTAAAAAAAACAGTTGATCTCCGCTTGACGTAATTTAGTTATTTTGAATGTTGTCAGTCTATCGCTGTCAGATTAGACTCTCATCTAAAAAGTGGACTCCCATCTCCCACTGTATCCAATGTCTTGCACTGCTCTGGTACAACTTGGATGAAAAGCACTACATTCTTAAGATGCTACTGTCGTACAGTTTTTGATGAAGTGGAGATACTTCAGGAGTGTTCTAGAGTGGTAGTGGGGGCAAGAATTGTTTCCTTGTTTGGCTGCTTGTTGCAAGGTTGCTTTGAACAGTGGCATGTGTCTTTGAGCCCCAGCGCTATCTTTCTACCATATTATCTCAGACGAATAATTGTGATGTTTTCTGTTTTTACAGTGAACTAGTCCTAATTTTCCTTGCCTTATTGATATGCCTGCTCGCTTTCAAAAACATTCTTCAAAAGGAGTGTTTTTGCTGCAAGTCTCATCTCCCCTGTGTGCAGATGAGGTTCTTGTTTAGCTCCAACCTTCTCCCTTGTTTTCTAGCACCTAGCTCTCTATGCCAGAACTGTGCTCTCTGGACCCTTGAGTTCAGTCTTTGCAGGGCTGCCTTATCCTCAGGATTTCCTAACTGAGGTCCATGAAATTTTCAAGCTTGTTACCGATGGAACAAAATACAAAAGTCTTTCAAGCCTGATTCTCAGGCTTTGCCAATCCTGTGGCACACTTCTAATATTAAAAATACTCTGTCTTTTTACAGTGTGTGATCTCCATAGATTGTGAATCGCCAGCAACAAAAATCAGCTTCTCTGCCTGCAGAAATGGAGACCGTGAGGCACTTGGGCTGGGGGAACAGTCTCTTTTACCTAAGAGGCAAGAGAAATAGCCGGGAATAGAATCCAAGTTCTGGGAGTAAATCCAGTGCTCTGTCCTGGAGGCTGCACTCGGGTCTCTAATGCCATGTTTTTGCCAGTGTGTTGGTGAAAATTCCCTTCCCCCTACAGTTGTGCAGCTATTCAGCTAGCTTCTGCCTGCAGCCCAGTGATGCTGCAAGTATGTAGGTCAGAGCTCTTCTGGATCTGATAAGCGTTAAATCAAGCTTACACTGATCTTGGTTGCTGCAGTCTTTTCAGGTATTTGCATTAGGGTTAAGCTCCCCCCCACCCCCCTTCCTCCTCTGGATTCTCTGTGGTAAAAGGCCCTTACTTTTAATTTATCTGTGGCTGATACGGAGTAAGATTATCTATATGGCTCCGAATGGCAAATCTTCGGTTCAGGATTATTTGCACTGGAAAGATTACCTGTGTGTGTAACAATTGAAATTGGTACACCCATCTTCTGAAAAATCTCCTTCTTTGCCTTGCAGGTTTAGTGAAGGATGGGTCTTTTTGTGTTACTAATATTGACTTACTCATAGGACTTTGGCTATCAACTCTGCAGCAGCTTCTGTTTCAGGGCAAAGATAATGAGCATCTAGACTAGCTTGGGAGGTTCATTATGAGATATGTAGGGCACAGTGGGGAGGTAGCTGTCAGTGTGATCATAATATATCTATGACAATCTTATGCCAGTTGCAGGGGGTGTGGTGTTTTTGTTGTAACTTTCCCATACTTCTAATTCAACAGCTAAATTCAAAGTCCACTGTGGACTGAATTTTCTCTGTTACATCTTTAGAACAGGTGGATCAAATATAAAGCATGTCATCACCAGTATCACTCTAAATTTATAACTCATTCGCAGATCATAAGTAAGCATGGAATTTAGCTTTCTGCCTGCTCCGAGACTTATTTAGATTCCTCTTCTGTAGAGAGCAACCCCCATTCCCCTCTACGGAATCTGATTCCCAGTCTGAGAGTGAGCTCATAGTTACTGATCACAAGCCAAATTGGAAACCTTGATCTTTGGCAGCAGCAGGAAAAGGGATTTAGGATTATTGCTTTTGCAGATATGTTGCCCGCAGACCACCTTCTGTCATCTGATCCTCTTAGCCAAGCTGTTTTAATGTAAATAAAAAAGAACAAGCAAGGGGGAAATAAAGGCAGTGTTATTTTTAATGCAGTGAATGTAGTTTTCAGGGTTGGTGTACAAGATGGAGTGACTGAGGAGGAAAGAGGAAAATATGGTATAATCAAAAGGTCACAGATCGGAGGCTTCCTTTTTTTAGATAATTAGGTCCTAGTGAATGGTTAACAGATTGTCTAGTTACCAACACCAGGATCTTGAGGAGCCTCTGTTAGTATCAAAAGTCTCCTATATATAAGCATCACCTGATACTTTCAGATGCTCAGCCAGCTGGTAGGAAGTACACTTCAGAGAAGCATAGCATAATTTAGGTCAGAAGGGACCACTGGAGGTCCTCTGGACCAGGCTCCTGCTCAAAGCAGGGTTAACTCTGAATTTAGATCCATCTTGAAAGTTAGATCAGGTTGCTCAGTCATCTTCAAGTGCTCCACAACTAATGAGCTGCTCGGCATCCTGAAGCCTGTCATACAAGATTCTCAAAATAAGCAGTCTTCTCTCTATAAAATTCCAAGGAACTATTAAAAACCTATTTGAATGATATGACACAATGTAGAATTGTCCTCTGAGCCCTAAGAGGTTTTTTTTGGTTGAGAATCCATAATCCTGAGTCTCCCACCTCTCTGGAGAGGCAAGCCCTAACCAGCAGGCTCCGAGGAACACTATCGAGGCTCTCTGTGTAAAGTGAACCTGCTCCTGGTTTTGGATTAAATACTTCTAATAGTTGCATTCTCACTGGTTCTGTCACTCCGGTGAAAGTAGAAGACTAAAGGTTAAGTCCGGTTAAGTCCCTTGTTAATTTATACAAAGCTGCACATCTCAAAGAAAGGAAAGAAGACTGAGTATCTTAGTGGCTGGGCTGCTACCCTGGGCTGTGGATTCAAGTCTGCAAGCAAGCTCTCGAACTGAGCGTTTCTAAATTCCCAGGAAATTCTTTAGTTTATTAGGTTAGAAGGTATTTTCTGGTGAGTAGTACTGTTTTTTGTTTAATAAAGTGTGGCACGTAACCTGGGCCCCTGAGAAAAGGGCAAGCTGTGACTTACGGTGTGTTTGTGCTCGGCAGTGCAACACAGTGCTGGTGCTACCACTTTGCTTACAGGTAGACTGGAGATGTATATGCTGCAGTGCTGTGAAAGCATACTCATGTTCTAAAAACATCAACAAAGATTTGGAATAAAGCACAGGGTTGCACAGTCAGACCCTGTTTGTGACAATCTCGACCACTTAAAAGCCACTCCGGGGTGGCACAAATACGGTCTGTGGCAGTGCGATGCTGCACCCAGGCTAACCACTCCAGGTACCTTGGAGGGGGTACCTCTGTCTGCTGTCCCTGCTGAGGGAAAAGCTTCAGCCTGCTCTTTTCCTCAAAACCTAATACCTGTCACTCTGGCATGTATTCCTCCCTCGCCCTTTTAGAAAATCTTACCTGTGTCGGGGTACACAGCTGAGGTTTGCTGTTGCGCTAACAGAGCACCGCTTTTGCTGTATTTACATAGGCCTGAGCCCTCGTCTCTGCACACCGGCTCCTTGCTCAGCTTCGGTTTCTGCAGGTCCTTCACTGGGCTCCGTGGTTTTCGGTGCAATTTTCAGCTCAAAGCGCCTCGCGCCGCTTCCCTGAGCGGCCACTGAAGATCGCATGTCATGGCTTTTGCAGGGGAAACGCGAAGACGATTAACAGAGAGCTAACCACACGTAATTCTTGACTTCAAGCCGCCCTTGCTGTGGTATTTGCGCTGTGTTTGTCAACTTTCTCGTTAGGAAACTCCAGTGGCACGAAAATACCCAAAGATTTGGGGGGGG